GGGAACTCCAGCAGTCTGGGCGCAGAAATCCAGAGTCCTCCAGACACGCAGAGAGGCCAGTGAGGGCACCCCAGATCTGCCCAGCTCCTCCTCTGCAGACCTATGGCCAGGCGCGGCAGCTAAACAGGCTGGGCTAGGCTGGTAGTGTGGGCCAGCCCACCTATTGGGAGCTCAGCAGGTCTCCAAATGAAGCCGGGAATGGGGAGGCTGATGTGGAAGCCTCAAACCCACCTCTCTCCTTCACTGCACCTGGAAGCCTGAGGGAACTCCAGCAGTCTGGGCGCAGAAATCCAGAGTCCTCCAGACACGCAGAGAGGCCAGTGAGGGCACCCCAGATCTGCCCAGCTCCTCCTCTGCAGACCTATGGCCAGGCGCGGCAGCTAAACAGGCTGGGCTAGGCTGGTAGTGTGGGCCAGCCCACCTATCGGGAGCTCAGCAGGTCTCCAAATGAAGCCGGGAATGGGGAGGCTGATGTGGAAGCCTCAAACCCACTTCTCTCCTTCACTGCACCTGGAAGCCTGAGGGAACTCCAGCAGTCTGGGCGCAGAAATCCAGAGTCCTCCAGACACGCAGAGAGGCCAGTGAGGGCACCCCAGATCTGCCCAGCTCCTCCTCTGCAGACCTATGGCCAGGCGCGGCAGCTAAACAGGCTGGGCTAGGCTGGTAGTGTGGGCCAGCCCACCTATTGGGAGCTCAGCAGGTCTCCAAATGAAGCCGGGAATGGGGAGGCTGATGTGGAAGCCTCAAACCCACCTCTCTCCTTTTCTGCACATTGGAAGCCTGAGGGAACTCCAGCAGTCTGGGCGCAGAAATCCAGAGTCCTCCAGACATGCAGAGAGGCCAGTGAGGGCACCCCAGATCTGCCCAGCTCCTCCTCTGCAGACCTATGGCCAGGCGCGGCAGCTAAACAGGCTGGGCTAGGCTGGTAGTGTGGGCCAGCCCACCTATCGGGAGCTCAGCAGGTCTCCAAATGAAGCCGGGAAAGGGAGGCTGATGTGGAAGCCTCAAACCCACCTCTCTCCTTCACTGCACCTGGAAGCCTGAGGGAACTCCAGCAGTCTGGGCGCAGAAATCCAGAGTCCTCCAGACACGCAGAGAGGCCAGTGAGGGCACCCCAGATCTGCCCAGCTCCTCCTCTGCAGTGTAAATTTTGTTGTAAAAAAGAGAGGGGAAAAAAAGAGCTCTAACGGATATAACAGCAAGTGTGTTTGGGGGTGTTAAATGGCTGACTATATTACTGTTTTTGGATAATTGAATGCAGGTGTTTGCAGTCTCTCTGTTTGAATGTCCAATTTGTATTCTTTGAAACTGTGATTTGAGCAACTATTTCCAAGATGATAATATGTATGTAATCTATTATCAGGTAATGTAATGATATGTAATCTATTAACAGGTGATTTCTTACTGTTATTTTTTTTTGTAGTTCTGTATTACGTGTACCCTTACACCACTTTGTTTTGTTTTGTGTTTTTCTTTTTTTCCTCTAAAATAAAATTAAAAAAATGTTTGAGGGTATAGGCAACTACTTTGAAGGCAATAAGATTCACTAAGTTGCCCATTCTGGTTTGACTATTGTCTCCTTTGGAAGTCCTGTAATGTTTACAATGCTTAAGTTTTATTGGTCTTGTTCTCTACTGTTTTGTTCAACTTTATAATATCTAATGAGATAGACAATTCTTTTTAAGGAAACAAGAGACATTGTAGACAAACATTGTTGATAACCTTGTACTCTGTTTTAGATCATGTGCTATGTCTATCCTTGGTTTTGACTGACAGCTTTGTTTTGCTGTATTTGACTTTATTTTCTCCCCCCCCAAGAAGTAATAAGAACTAAGGAGTAATAAATGTGTAAATTTTTTTGTAAGAAAGAGAGGGAAAAAAGAGCTCTAAAGGATACAACAGCAAGTGTGTTTAGGGGTGTTAAATAGCTGACCATGTTAATGCTTTTGGTTGGATCATTGAACACAACTGTTTGCAGTCTTACTGTTTGAATGTCCACTTTGTATGCTTTGATACTGTGATTTGAGCAACTATCTCTAAGATGATAATATGTAATCTATTAACTGGTGATTTCTTACTGTTTTTTTTTTTGTAGTTCTGTATTACTTGTACCTTTACACTGCTTTGTTTTGCTCTTTTTCCTTTTAAATAAAATTTAAAAAAAAGAGAAGGGAAAGTGACCTCAAGGTAAACGTCCCCTGGTTCCACCTCCAGTGCTGAAATACCCCATCTGGAGCAAAATCTTCTCAATTTTTTTCTCTCAAAAAATATATTCTGCTCTTACCTCCATTGTGCTTAATTATTCATTCTTCAATTTTGGAAAACCTAAACTGATACATAGTAGGTCAGGAGTTTCATTCCCCTATATCACTGACTGCCTATATTTCTAACTAACTCATCTGCCTATAAATTTAAGAATCATTTATCAACTTTTCTTAGCATAATTGTAGCAAATAAAATGTACTTAATGGATATAGTGAAATATATGATTAAAATGAAAAACTAATTATCACAGTTTCTCTACCTAGCATCACCAAACATTTTCAGCTTTCAAGTATGTGGAAAAATAAAACCTAAAACAACTCTCAGCAAATACCCATAGTATAGAGGACAGTATAAAATTCACTGCATTTATCATGTTATCTGTAGATATTTTGTAGACCACAAAAGAAAAATTGAGCCATTGAATGAACAACTATCAATTTCAATAATTATGCTCATAGCATACATCGTTGAGCATTGTAGAAAATTATTTTTGGTTCCAGGGATTGAACACATGACCTTGTGCTTGCCTGGATGGTACTTGTACCACTGAGCTCAATCCCCAGCCTGAACAACCTTAGATTCTAAATATGACTATTACCACTGTTTAATTTGCCATTGACAGATTCAATTGAAATTTGTTCATCTACATCTTCACAAATGAAATTATTTGCTTTCCTTGCAGTTTAAATCACTTTTTTTAGGTACTTGGGATCAAACTCACAACTTGGCACTTGCCATGCAGGTACTTCTGTCTGCTGAGGTAAAGCCCAGGGCCCTATTAAATAATATTTTATTAAACATATAATGCATTAACAGCATCAAGAAATAAAATAAAGGCATTTGCATGATACATCCAATAACAACCTTTTAAACCAAAACAACTCCACAGTTAAGAAAAATTGATTTCAAATTATGGTTACTCATAAATCATGCCAAATTTTATAATTTCTGGAGATATTGATATATATATATTGTGATGTGCTATTGGAGACAAGTTATGATGCTGTCAGTATAGCACAATCAGAAATTCACAGCAGTATGGTTTACATTTGGTACATGTGGGGAAACCTTGCTATCAAATAAAGATGTAATATAAACATAACAAGTAAAATTCTGATGGTTAGAAAAACAAAGGTTCACTTAAATGACAAATTTTGACTCCACTGAGAAACAAAATCAGGCAACATAATTTACATGGTATGATATCCAGTGATGTTAGGAAATCAGCAGATGTCTTGTCACAACTTGGAAAACACAACATTCATTAATGTACAAATTATGTGAAAAGAACACAACTTTGTCAAAAACACATACTTCAAGCCTCTACAAATGTATATCTTAATGCCAAATATTGCATCAACTTCATAAACATCATTTATGAAAGAGAAAATGAAGCATGTGCGTCAAAAGATTAAAGCAATGCCATGTTAAAATTACAATTCCCAAAAAAATAAGAGACTAGACTAATATCACTCAGAACAGTGAATAATAGTATTACTCAATTTTATATCATAATGCTACAGAATTAGCATTGGGTTTCTTAGTGTCACTTAGTCTTCAGAGTATCTGTTCATTACATTATGCATTATATTATTTGTTCCAATAAATAGGTTAGAAATTCTTCCCATGTGTGACTCTCTATCTGTATATCTATGCTTTCTGTGTTATGGGGGAAAACAGCTCAAAATAAGACAACAAAACAAATTCCTAGAAAATCATGATATGAAAGTGATATATAAGACCACAATATCAGGTGATATACAGTACTTACTATGCTTTCTCTTATAATTTTCAGTAGAATTGTCCACCTCATCAGGGACTATATAATTAAGCATAACATTATATAGCTATTTTTATAAAAACACAGCTTTGAAGACATTATAGGATGTGAAAGCAGTTAATAATCAAACCTGATGTAGAGCCCGTGGTTTCCTGCCAGGACCAGCAAGTTGGGCCGAGGCACACAATCCCATCCCAGTCTGGGGGAACTCCCTTCCTCACCTGGGGACCAGCCCATGGTTGCCCACTGGGACCAGTGATTTGGGACCAGCGAGTCAGAACCAGGGAGTTGGGCCAAGGCACAGAATCCTTTCCCAGTCTGGGGTAACTCTTCCTCACCTGGGGACCAGCCTGTGGATTCCTGCTGGGACCAGCTAGTGGGGCTGAGGTACAGATTCCAATTCCAGTAAGGGGGAACTCCCTACTTGCCAGCAAGTTTGGCCAAGGCATGGAATCCCGGGGGAACTCGCTCCCTCACTTGGAACAACACTTGAATCTTGAAAATACAGCAAAATGACAAAACGATAGTCCAAAATGCAATCTCAAACATCCATGCAATCCCAAAAAAGCCTAGGAGCTATGTGCATAGAAGAAAACACATTTCACATAACTGAAATACCTGAAATAATAGTAACTGAAATAAAGAAGCAACTTTGGGAAGCATTAAAGAAATTCAAACTAGAAATAATCTCATAGGTAAAAGAAGAAACATTAAAAGAAATGAAGGATATTCTGAACATATCTAAAGAAGACACAGTTAAAAAATTGGAGGAACTAAACAAAAAGATAGAATCCCTGGATGAACTCTATAAGAAACAAACAGAATACATAAAGCAGATGCAAAGTGATATACAGGAAATCAAAAACTCCATTGAAACTTGTAAAAACTGCCTCAATGAATGTGAAGATAGAATCTCAGACCTTGAAGACAAGATTGCAGCCAGTGAACAGGAAAGGAAAGATCTTTTAAAAATAACACAAGAAATCAGGAAATAACTATTCAACACCTGCAAGATGACGCAAAGCAGAACAACATAAGGTTGATAGGGATAAATGAAAAAGAAGGACAACATAAAGGATGTCAAGAGGATATTTAGAGAAGTAATAGCTGAAAATTTCCCAAACACGAGATTGGAAACTGATATCAAGATCAATGAAGCATATAGAACTCCAAATAGCCATAACCAAAATAAATCTACACCCAGACATATAACAATGACCATCACAGAAACTGAACAAAAGAATAGAATATTAAAGCTGTCAGAGAGAAGAGACAGATCACCTATAATGGAAAACCTATCAGAATCACAGTAGACTTCTCAGCACAAACAATAAAGTCAAGAAGAGCATGGAGTCAAGTATTTCAGATTGTAAAGGAAAATTATTTCCAAACTAGGCTGATGTACCCTGCAGAACTGTCCTTCAAAATTGATGCAGAAATAAGATACTTCCATGACAAAGAACAGCTGAAAAACTTCATGATCATCAAGCCAACCCTGCAAAGAATACTGAAAGACAGCCTAGATACATTTAGGAAAAAGCCATTAACAAAGCAGACAATTAAACAGAGCAGAAAGATAAAGTTGCAACAGCAGAAAGATAACATGTCAACAATAAACCAATATACAACAGTTCTAACCATTAATGTAAATGGTTTCAATGCACCAATTAAAAGAAACAGACTGGCAGAATAGATCAAGAAACAAAATGCATTGATATGCTGTCTCCAAGAACCCCATCTAATGCAAAAGGATATTATATTATATATTATAAAAAGACTAAAAGTCAGAGGATAGAAAACAATACTTCATGCAACAGGAACCCCACAAAAAGCAGGGGTAGCTATTCCATTAGCAGACAATATAAACTTCAAGCCAGTAATGATCAGAAGGGATACAGAAGGTCACTACACACTGGTTAGGGGAAAACTCCAAGAGGAAGAGACTGTTATCTTAAATATATATGCACCAAACTCCAGAGCACCCAGTTATATAAAACAAGTACTAACAGAAATGAAAAACCAAATTAGCAGTAACACAATTGTTTTTTAAGAGGAAAAAGAGAAAAACACAAAACAAACCAAAGCGGCGTAAGGGTACACGCAATACAGAACTACAAAACAAAACAAAACAAAACAAAACAAAACAAAAAACCATAACAGTAAGAAATTACCTGCTAGTAGATTACACACTATTTTCTTGAAAATAGTTCCTCAAATCACAGTATCAAAGAACACAAGGTGGACATTCAAACAGGGAGACTGCAAACAGCTGTGTTCAATGTTCCAAAAACATTGATAAAGTCAGCTATTTAACACCCCCAAACACACTTGCTGTTATTTCCGTTAGAGCTCTTTTTCTTTTTTTTTTTCCCCTCTCTTTTTTACAACAAAATTTACACATCTTGGATTTTATTACTCCTTAGTGCTTATTACTTTCTTTGGGGGGGGAGAGAATAAAGCCTTCAAAATCGATGGAGAAATAAGATACTTATATGACAAAGAAAAGCTGAAAAACTTCATGATCACCAAGCCAACTCTGCAAAGAATCCTGAAAGACAGCTTAGTTACATTTAGGAAAAAAACACTAAACAAAACAGATAGTTAAAAAGAGCAGAAAATAAAGATGCAACAGCAGAAAGATAACATGTCAACAATAAACCAATATATAACAGTTCTAACCATTAATGTAAATGGTCTCAATGGACCAATTGGAAGAAACCAACTGGCAGAATGGATTAAGAAACAAAATCCAAACATATGCTGTCTACAAGAAACCCATCTAAACACAAAACGATATTCACAGACTGAAAGTCAAAGGATGGAAAACAATACTTCATGCAACAGGAACCAAAAAAAAGGGGGGGTAGCTATTCTGTTTGCAGACAATGTGAACTTCAAGCCAATAATGATCAGAAGCGATAAAGAAGGTCACTACATATGGGTTAGGGGAAAACTCCAAGAGGAAGAGAAAACTATCTTATATTTATATGCACCAAACTCCAGAGCACCCAGTTATATAAAACAAGTACTAACAAAAATGAAAAATCAAATTAGCATTAACACAATTTTAACAGGAGACCTTAACACACCATTGATATCAATGGACAGATCAACCAGACAGAAAATCAACAAACAAATAAAAGAACTGAATCGCACCTTTGAACAAATGGACTTAATAGACATATACTGAGTATTCCACCCAACAATAACAGAATACACATTCTTCTCAGCAGTACATGGATCATTCTTTAAAATAGACCATATATTAACTCATAGAACATATTTAAAATGCAAAAGTGTCAAAATTATTCCTTGCATGCTATTGGACCATAGCGCTATGAAATTAGAAATTAATAGTGAAAGATACTGCAAAAATCCCACAAACACATGGAAACTGAATAACACACTCTTGCATAATCAGTGCATCACAGAGGAAATTAAAGAAGAAATTAAACAATACCTACAAACAAATGGAAACACAAATGCAACTTACTGAAATCTGTGGGATGCAATGAAAGCTGTTCTCAGAGGAAAATTTATTGTACTGAGTTCCCACATTAGGAAAACAGAATGAATATAAATAAATAACCTGATGTCACACCTCAAACATCTAGAAAAAGAAGAGCAAGTCAAGCACAGTGCCAAAAGAAGAGAAGAAATGATAAAAATCAGGGCATAAATCAATACAATAGAGACTAAAAAACGATTCAAAAAATCAACAAATCAAAGAGCTGGTTCTTTGAAAGAATAAATAAAATCGATAAACCCCTAGCTAACCTTATTTAAAAAAGGGAAGAAAAAGCTCAAAGTCATGCAATAAAGAATGAAAGAGGTGAAATTACTACAGACCCTAAAGAAATACAGAAGATCATCAACACCTATTTCGAAAACCTCTACTCTCAAAGGTTTGATAACACAGAGAAAATAGACAGATTCCTAGAAGCATACGAAGTACCAAAGCTAGGTAATGAAGATGTAAAACCACTGAATAAACCAATTTCTATTAATGAAATTGAAGATGAAATTAAATCTTTACCTACAAAGAAGAGCCCAGGCCCAGATGTATTCACTGCAGAATTCTACAAGAAATACAAAGACGACCTAATGCCAACACTCCTCAAAATCTTCAATGAAATTGAAAGGGAAGCAATTCTTCCTAAATTGTTCCTAGAAGCAAATATTACTCTAGTACCAAAACCAGAGAAGGACCCAACTGAAAAAGAGAACTACAGACCAATCTCCTTAATGAACACAGATGCAAAAATCCTCAGTGAAATATTGGCAAACAGGATGCAGCAAATCAAAAAGATCATACACCACGACCAAGTGGGAATCATCCCAGGCATGCAGAGATGGTTTAATATATGTAAATCAATAAATGTAATAAACTATAGCAATAGAGCCAAAAGTAAGAATCACATGATCATTTCTACAGATGCAGAAAAAGCCTTTGATAAGGTTCAACATTCATTTATGATAAGAACCTTACAGAAAATTGGAATAGATGGTCGTTACCTCAATATGCTTAGGGCTGCCTATGACAAATCGACAGTCAATATCATACTAAATGGCCAAAAATTGAAGACATTTACTTTAAAATCAGGGACAATACAAGGAGGTCCCTTATCACCACTCCTATTTAATATAGTACTGAATATACTGGCCAGAGCAATTAGACGAGAGAGAGAAATAAAATGCATATAGGAAAAGAAGAAGTTAAATTATCACTATTTGCAGATGACATGATACTCTCCATAGAAGATCCCCAAAACTCCATTGAAAGACCCCTAGATAGAACACAGAAATTCAGTAATGTAGCTGGATACCGAATCAATATTCAAAAATCAATACATTCCTATACACTAACAGCAAAGTTACAGAGAGGCAAATAAGAGAGATCACACCCTTCACACTAGCAACCAAAAAAATGAAATATTTAGGAATTACTCTCATGAAAGAAGTAAAAAACCTATACAGGGAAAACTATAACACCTTGAAAGATGAAACTGAAGATGATCTCAGAAAATGGAAAGACATCCCTTGCTCATGGATAGGAAGAATAAATATTGTGAAGATGGCCATTCTCCCAAAAATTTTATACAGATTCAATGCAATCCTGATAAAAAAAATAAACATACTCATTAAGTGCAATGGTTTTAACCTGGGTTGTCGATTTTAGTGTCAGTGATAGTATGAATAGCTATTCTGAAGAAAACAACACATCCTAAAAGCTAGTGATTTAATATCGTCTTGTTTCGAAGTCCCATCAAGCAGTTGTACATCTGTTTCCACTGGTTTTAACATGTTGTATCTTACTATAGTTTACTATACGTGATAATATAAGCAAAATTTTTATAGGCAAAGAGACAATATAGAAACCATTTTTCATTTTCTGTTAACTGGTTCTAAATACCCTGTAATTCTTTCATTCTCTTGAATGGCTTCACACTGTCTTGATATGCTTGATGCTACAGTATACAAAGTTATATTCAAATAATTCAAGGAATGAGGCACTATGGTGACTAATATTATGTTAGATTATTTGGGGGGTGAAACACAATGATGCTTAAATAGTTCGGTTCTGACCAGTGTTGTTCTATTACAATGTCCTCTTTTATCTGAATCTCCACTCTTTTTCAAAAATCAATCTATGTTTTCTTAATTTTTTTTCAATTAAGGGAAAACTAAATTAAAAAATAGCGGGATATATTATAGTAACATTTTTGTTTTCTTATTAACCTGATTTGAACCCCACTATTGCTCTCCTCATCTTTTTCTGTCTGATTTTACTGAATTCTATATTGTTTGATAGTATCAAGTTTGAAGGTATAGGCAACCACTTTGAAGGCAATAAGATTTACTATAATGCCCACTATGGTTTGATTATTATCTTGTTTTGAAATACTGTAAGGTCTCCAGTGTAGGTTTTATTGGTCTTGTTCTGTACTGTTTTGATCAATTCTATTATACCTGATGAGATGGGCAACTCTTTTTAAAAATAGCAAGAGGCACACTCTTAACCATTTTTGATCACCTGATATTCTATTTTTGCATCATGTACTATGCCCATCCTTCTGTTCTAACCGAATCTTTTATTTTTTAGTCATGTTAGGTTTTATTCTCTTCAAAAAAAGTAATTAGAACTGTATTCCCATAACACATAAGATTTATCTCTTGTGTGAGTTTTTTCATGTATTTCACTTACAATCTGGCTGCTGAGAGTGTCTCCATTTGCTTACATAGCCAGTGGTTCTTCCCAGAGTGAATTCTTTCATGTGTTTTGCAATGACTGTATGCAGTACAAGCTTTGCCACGTTGTTATATACATTGGGTTTCTCACCAGGGTGAAGTCATTGATGTATTTTACAGTATCCATGTGTGATGAAAGCTTTCCCACATTCTTCACATACACAGGCTTTCTCAACAGTGTAAATTTTTTCATGTATTGGACAATGAGCATTTCTGCTGAAACCTTTCCCACATTACTTACATATATAAGTTTTCTGCCAAGTGTGAAGATTTTCATGCATTATGCAATATGTATGTGTGCTCAAATCATTCTCATGATACTTATATACATGGTTTTCTCTTGAATGTGAACTTTCATGTTGCTTACAATGTCAATGTAGGGTAAAATCTTTCCCACATTGCTTATACATATGTTTTCTCTCCAGTGTGAATTCTTTCATGTTTCTTACAATATCTATGTGTGGTAAAATCTTTCCCACATTGCTTATACATACGTTTTCTCTCCAGTGTGAATTCTTTCATGTTTCTTACAATATCTATGTGTGGTAAAAGCTTTCCCACATTGCTTACATACATAAGGTTTCTCTCCAGTGTGAATTCTTTCATGCTTCTTACAATTTCCCCGTATTTTAAAAGCTTTCCCACATTGCTTACATACATATGGTTTCTCTGCACTGTGAATTCTTTCATGTCGCTTACAATGTCTAGATATGGTGAAACCTTTTCCACATTGCCGACATACATATGGTTTCTCTCCAGTGTGAATTCTTTCATGTTCCTTACAATGTCCGTGTTTGGTAAAAGCTTTCCCACATTGCTTACATACATAAGGTTTCTCACCAGTGTGAATTCTCTCATGTTCCTTACAATTTCCTTGTGTCATAAAAGCTTTCCCACATTGCTTACATACATAGGGTTTCTCTCCAGTGTGAATTCTTTCATGCTTCTTACAATTTTCCCGTGTGTTAAAACCTTTCCCACATTGCTTACATACATAGGGTTTCTCTCCAGTGTGAATTCTTTCATGCTTCTCACAATTTCCCCGTGTGTTAAAACCTTTCCCACATTGCTTACATACATAGGGTTTCTCTCCAGTGTGAATTCTTTCATGAATCCTACAATGTGCACGTGTGTTAAAAGCTTTCCCACATTCCTTACATACATATGGTTTCTCTCCAGTGTGAATTCTTTCATGCTTCTCACAATTTCCCCGTGTGTTAAAACCTTTCCCACATTGCTTACATACATAGGGTTTCTCTCCAGTGTGAATTCTTTCATGAATCCTACAATGTGCACGTGTGTTAAAAGCTTTCCCACATTCCTTACATACATATGGTTTCTCTCCAGTGTGAATTCTTTCATGTTTCTTACAATCTCCCTGTGTTTTGAAAGCTTTCCCACATTGCTTACATACATATGGTTTCTCTCCAGTGTGAATCCTTTCATGAACCTTACAATATCTATGTGTGGTAAAAGCTTTCCCACATTGCTTACATATATAAGGTTTCTCTCCAGTGTGAATTCTCTTATGTTCCTTACAATGTCCTTGTGTCATAAAAGCTTTCCCACATTGCTTACATACATAAGGTTTCTCTCCAGTGTGAATTCTTTCATGCTTCTCACAATTTCCCCATGTGTTAAAACCTTTCCCACATTTCTTACATACATAGGGGTTCCCTCCATTGCAATATTTTTCATGGGTCTGAACATTGTGGTGTGTTTCTGTTTCTTTCACATTCACATTACCTCCTGCAGTACAAAGGAATACTTCTTTACACAGATTCCAAGATGTATGTCCATAGAATTTCCCTAGCTTGTCATTTCTGTAAAGAAAAAAATCATATATCAGATTGATAACCATATTACTAAGTTTTGTTGGAGAGTTGAATAAAACTGTTCGCAGTCTTGCTTTTTGAATCCCTATTTCATATGTTTCACTTTTGTATTTGATTAACTATTTCTATGAGCAGCATATGTAATCATCGTCTTGTGATTTCTTACTGTTCATTTTCACTTTGAATGTAGTATTATTTCTACTTACTTTGTTTTATTTAATCTTTCCTTACATTAAATTTAAAAAAAGAAAAATTCACAGTGAAATGGGTCTCAGTTTAATGACTGCATTAATGTCAAGTTCTGTTTTTAATGCCTAAGAAATTCTGACCATGAAGCAACAGAATGGCCTTGTAAGATATGTTGAAAACAGCCATTCCCAAAAGACTGGTACACATTTAGAAATCTTAAAAGGTGGTACCTTATGAAATGCAGAATATTTAGCTTCTCTTTGGGCATGGGCACTTACGTGTATCACAGACAGATCATTCTGATATGGTTCCCCATCACAATCTTGCTTCTGTCCTTAACTTGTAGTTCCCTTTTTCATATGGTCAGTCTTACTTTTATCTATTAATTCTCTTTTGCTTCATTCCACAATTTTTATTTTGGTTTCCTATCTAAAAGAAACCCTGTGACCTTTTAGGTTTTATAGCTGAGCTATTTCTCTCAAATGCTGGGGGAAAGGCCCATCTGTTTCTTATGGCAAATGACATTATATTATTTATTTTTTGACATTATGTAAAACATTTTTTTCTTTTCCAGGCTGGAAATGAACAACAGGTATTAGCATAATATCTATAGCTTTTTAAAATCTGTTTTAAGAGACTTTCATTGATCATTAAGCTTTGAAGTTTGAACTTGAATTTGCCATTCTGCAAAATCTGATTCATAGTGTGCTGGGTTTATAAGAATGCATAATCACAGAGAGTCTATTAACATTTTCCTTCTTCACAAATCCAGTGATAGATAGCTAAGCTTCTTCAAGGCCTGATCTATTATAACTTTATCTGCTTTGTAAATGAGTAAGCATGTATCAGTATTTTATGCATATTTTTAGATTTTAAAAATATAACCAAGACAAGTATGAGGGGATCAATTTCCAGAGACAACTGCATACTGATATTCAAAATGAGTGCATTAACATTCCACCAGCCTACTAAGAATTTTAATTAGAATGGCTGATTCTCTAGAACATGGCTTGGAAACATGAGCACTCAGTTTTATTTCAAATCTATTGCAATCTTAGCAATTTATAGATAATGAATGTGTTGCATTCACATGTATATATTGGTACAAAAATTGTTAGATAATGAATGTGTTGCATTCACATGTATATATGTGTACAAAAACTGAAGACAGAATGTCATAACTCAAAGTGTATGCCTTTTGTATACATCTATATGCAATGTCATACATTTCCATGATTTAATTCACTCATTATACATACCCTAGCTTACATATCTTCAGAGAATATTATTGACATTAAATTGAATGGTGGTCATTTTTCTATTGACTCACTAATTACTCAGGAACATTCCTTGTCCTTGTGAATGTGGATTACCTTAAGTATCTCCAGTAAATTTTGCATTCTTTTTCAGCTTCCTGGATATTCCCAAGTCCTCCTGAATTGTAGACATAGAAATACCAGGACTCATTAGAGTAATATATACAAATTAATACGTTTTGTTTAGATATATGATATAACGTGTCCAGATTTGAGGTAGTTTTAAAAATATTTTCATGTTCTTTTTAATGAAACAGCATTGATGAGCAACAAACAATATTCTGACAGCGTGAGTGACAAAAAGATTTCATCCTTACCTATCGCAATCATGTTGCTAACAGTTTCGCCCATCACATCTCTGTAGAGGTTCTTTTGGAATGGACTCAGCAAAGTCCACTCTTCATTGCTGAAGTTCACGACCACATCCTCAAAGATCACTGCGTCCTAAAGGATCATACATATATTTCTCAAAGGAAGATTGAGACCCCAGTTTTGGGATATCTTAAACTCTCTCCTACAAATCTGAATCAAAAGCAAAGTGTGGTGGTGCATATCTATAATCCCAGCACTCAAAAGACTGAGCCAGGATGGTTTCGCTGAGGTCAGGGCAATTCTAGGCTCCATAGGATGTTCAAATCCAGCTGATATACATACAGAAAGCTTTTCTCAATAAAACAAAACTAAACTAATAAAATGAAAAAAACAGCTGAATGAAGACTGATTTCTTCAAATTAAATCCATGTCTTTGTCATTAATTTTGTGTATATACACATTTTTGAAGACAGCAAAGTTGATGCTAGATTTTAACTCACCGCTAATGTAACAGGCAAATAGGAGTACTGATTCTTGTGCTGAGTCACTGCAAGATTCCCTGTGCACTGTCTCTAAAGTACAGCTCACAGTGAGAAGCCTGCAGGACCAGCAACCACAAAGCACAGAGACAAATAAATATCTCATCAATCAACTGGGAAGCCAAGCAAGCAATTCCTCTCCCTGGTCAGCGGTGGTGGTTTGGCAGACTGCAGCCCTTCCAGGGTGAAAACCAGCAGCAGCTCCTGAGATCCATGCAATATTGGAACTTAGGACACTGGGAAGCCAAGCAAGCACCACCACTCCCTGGTAAGTGGTGGCGGTTTGGCCGACTGCAGCCCTTCCAGGGGGAGAACCAGCTGCAGCTCCTGAGATCCATGCCATGTTGGAACTTAGGACACTGGGAAGCCAGGCAAGCATCTGCCTTCCCTGGTGAGCAGTGGCAGTCTCCAAACTGCAGTCCTTCCAGGGGGATAACCAGCAGCAGCTCCTGAGATACATGCAATATTGAAACTTAGGATGCTGTGAAACCAAACACCATCCCGTCTCTCTACTAAGCAATAGTGAACCTACTGATGCACCACCTAGAGTCAAATATTCCATTTCCCCTACCCCTCTACTCCTGTCACTCCCCTACCCCCCCCCAACCCCGTTAGCAAATGAACTAGAAATCTGAGCGTCTCCTGGAAGTTGACCATAGCAAATAAGGGGGACTTTCTTCTACTATCTCTTTGAAGGCAAATATTTTTATTACTGTTTGGCTCTATACTGATTAATGGTACTGCTCTATTCAATATTCTGTTTTGATAAGTTCTATAATGTTCTGTATTTCATCTCATTTTGATATACATGTTTGAAAGAAAAACTATTATAAAGATAATGAAATATACTGTGATACCTACTACTGTTATCCCAGTAACCTGTTGTGAAGTTGTGTACCAATTTCACTGTATGATCTTAGTTGGGCTTATTCTGCCTTCTTCTGTTGTATTTTATCTATTTCAAAATTTAAAAAAAGAAAAAAAGTCTCATCAATCACTTTGATAGACTATGGAAGATGTATCTTCAAATCTCATTTAGGCCAGTGAGTACTTTGTTCTTAATATAGTTAAGCAGCATTTTGAAATATGAATTTGGTTTCATAGAACAAAACATATATAACATCAAATATGGTACATAAATAATAACTCAAATGTTAGTGGAAAACAGCTATATTTTAAAAATATGTATATAAAATGAAAACAGGCCCAAGCTGTAAATTATAGCTCACTGTCACCAAGTGATCACTTTCAATTCAGATATAAGAATTATATGTTGGGAGGCTGGTGATGGAGTTCTTCCTTGAACTTGCGGCTATCCTAAAGTTACAGAGCTGTCTAAAATAGACAAACCCTGACTGAGATACCCCACAAACAATGTGAAATCTAAAAAGTGATTACATAAAATAGCTTTGGTTTGTTTTAAAAAATTATAGCCATACAATACAGAAAAACTCCAACAATACTCAACACTTTCTGAGAAACAATGTGGATATCTTTCATACTACACAGAAAATATGTTCATAGTTGAGTATTTAGCTCACTGGCATGACCGCCTGCCTGGAAAGCATAGATCATGAGTTTGATCCTTGCTACAAAAATATTCAAATTTCACCTTCATGACACTGGGGCATAAGTAGAGATAATCAAAATTAGATCTCAAGTATGAAACACAAAATTCATAGGTTGACAGGGATAAGGAATACTGATTGTTGCCAGAGCTGGTGTTGATCACCTCAATGAAGCAATCAGAACCCAACTTTAACTTTATACTTACTCTAAGAACTACCTGACTTTCAGTAAAGACCTTCTCTGTTGTATGTCCTGCTATTTGCTTCCTAAATCCTGTCAATCATTTTCACATCCTTTCTACACTTCTCTGTTCCATCCTAAGCAGAAAACCCTTCATGCCTAACTTTTGATATAAATGAAAAATTTCTATTGATGGCTCCTCCTTTACACCACTTAGAAAAGTCCATTGCAGAGCATTTCCATATTTAAACTGTCTATGTACAACCAAGCTACTAAATCAGCTCTTAATTCAGAGATGACACCTGTATTCCTTTCCATTCAAAGGATATCCCCAGTATATGTCCATGCAAATGCCTAAATTTCAGCATTTTTCGATGAGAATTTAACATGTAGCACTTTCTGGAATTAGTCCTTCACAAACTTTTACCCTAGCCTTGATAAAACTTCATATTTGCTTCATTTTTCTCAGACTTCAAAACTCTATGGCTATTCCCACAAACCTAGTCTGTGAGCAGTAGTGCCACCTAAATAATTATGTTCAGAAATAATTTGCAATGATCTGTATAATACACAGGAGTTCACCAGGTGTTTGGGAAGCCTTTCTCCAATGACGCACACTACTACAAATCTCTGAATCCTCAGGACCTTTGTCACTACCTGTCCTGAGGATGGAAATAAGAGAATATAAATTTAGGAGATCATTATAAATACAAAAAAGCCCAAGTTTAAGTTGAGCCATTGTGGCTATGAGGCCCTGCATTACAGACATTAATAAATTTCAGACATTCCAGATCTGCTACTCTGAGGAAAGAGAGCATAGATCTAGCTCATTTCTGCTCTAGAAGCTACAAAAAGCATCATAGCCAGTGTCTTCCCAAGCTCCTTCCAATGCCTAAGATGGTGGAGGTACCAGGCCAGCAGTGTATTTCAAAGATGATACTTGAGTTTTCTACTGTCATAGTGAAGCCAGGGTTCTGCGAACCCTAAATCACCCTTGCCAACAGCAAGAGGCAAAAGGGTCAGTGAATGAACCATAGCCAATGCTGGAGGACCTCAGGAGCTAAAGCTAACTAAATACCTGGGGCTCCAGACAGCAGAACTACTCCTAAATACTTGTAATTGGTTTCACCCAATCTACCCTATTTCTGGATTCTCATCCACAGCTTCACCATTCCATGGCTGCAGGATCTCTCAGGTTCTTTGCTAATCAGGCCACAGGACATCAAAAGTACTAAGTGAGATCCAGCAAGCATTTTGCTACCACTGTTGTATGCAGAACAGGTAAATCATGCTGAGATACTGGAAAAGACAGAAGTCACAGCCAGCAATGGAACACCTGATTGGACAGTTCA